CAACAACCCCCTATGAGCAACCACTTTGGCAACAGTGGGAAGAAAAAACTCCCTTTTAACAGGAAGCAGGTTTAGAGGGGTCAGAGATTTCTTCCTGTTCTGCTGTGACCGGCTGGGGTTACGGCTTGATTACTGTATGGTCATACTTCATGTATTTATTGCTGTTTGTAACATGATTTGCTGCGTAAACTCAAAAATATCAATTAGTGCCAAGCAAACGCTGAGACAGCCCATTACAGTTTTTTTCTGTCGCTTTGGTGCTTTTCTCAGATCAGAATGAAAACTCTCAAAACCATTAGTGCTACCTCCACAACATTTAGTCATTTGTGCACATCATAGTGTCTCCTTCCTCTGAACAAACTGCAAATGCTCTTGGACATGTATCAGTTGCTTTCATACAGTTCTCTGCTGTCGACAACAAATGAACTCTACTCTTGTATGCTGAATAGTCGTTCCCAATAAAACTAATAGTCTTCATTTCATTGTTTGAGTCATTACAAACAAAATTGTTGAATTAGTTTTCAAATTTGATACCTTTTGTTATTATTTTCTCCTGGAAATGTCCCTGAAATTCACCAATTTCTCTCAGGTGAACTTCAGCTTTCACTGACGAGGAGGTGTGTGAAGTATTAGTTGTAACTAATGACAGGCCACTTGTTCACAGCCACTCATGGATCAATCCCATGAACCCTCAATTGGCAAGCATATATGAACCGAGCAGGACATGGTGTGCACCATTTCTACAATTCTGTGACACAGAAATGGAAGGTCAGCATCGTGGAAGGATGTCGTGGAAGGGGGTTTGTCCCCCCTGCATCCTCACCCCTCTTCCACGATGCTGACCTGGGGAAGAGGGGGAAGACGGCAAACACATACGCAGATCCCTAATGAAAGTAGGGCAACACTTGTCAACCATGCTGTCAATCACGGCCTCACAATGGATGAGGCTGGTCGGAGGGTGCGACCAAATGTTGGAACAACCACTGTGAACTCGATCAAACATTTCGTAGGGAGAACAGGTATGTATAGTACTGGACATAATATCTCATGTTTAGTGTATATTACTGTAATTTTGCTGTAATCTGCACCACAAAGGACTGAAAGACAGCCTCACAGAGGTGGAAGACGGCCCCTTTTTACCTGCAGCAAGAGGAAGAAAGTTGAAAGAAATTCAAAGCGCTGTCATAGAGGATAACGATGTGTTTGACAATATTGGATCTGTGTCAATTACAACAATTGACAGCGTGCTCAAGAGAAAAGAAATGTGCACGAAACAATTGTACAAAGTGCATTTGAACCCAACAGTGAAAGACTGAAGGAGATCCGTCACCAGTATGTACGGGTAAAGCACGTCTTCTATACTCTAATGTTCAGCACTGTAAACTGTTTTACTCTGTGTAGTTTCATGCAGTAGAAAAACAATTCTGTGTCTATACTCACAGAACATACAAAATGCATCATGTTACACAGGAAACGTTGTTACATTTCTCTCTGTGGAGCTGGAAGCCAGAGAACCACTGCACACATTCATATACGTTGATGAGGCGGGTTCAGTCTGGCCAAAGGCAGATGGCGTGGAAGAAATCACACTGGACAGAGAGCAACCACTTCCAAGCTGAGAGGAAATGGAAGAAAGATAATCTCCAGGTATCCTTTGATACTTTGCGTTCTAGCCGCCTCGAGTTTCAAATTGCTGCTAAACGTGCTAAAGCAGCCTTTTTCTCTGATATTATTGTGACCAATGGCCATAACCCTCGTTTGTTATTTAAAATCTTTAATTCAGCGGTTAATCCCTGCCCTGATATGCCGATGGTCCCATCCTCAGCTCTCTGTGAACAATTTCTAAAATACTTTACTGATAAAATCCTATCTCTCAAATCCTCACTCCCCCTAGTGGTGAGCCCTGCTCTCACTGGAGAAAGTGCTTCAACTTTTCATCAGTTTGAGCCAGTGTCACTCTGTGCACTTAAGCAAATTGTCAAGCAACTGAAAATGACTAGTTCTGCATATGAACCTCTTCTGTCTCGCATTGTGAAGGACGGCTTTGATGTAATTGGGCCCAGTATTCTGTTTTTAATGAACTCATCATCTGGTTTTAAACCACGCCACAGCACTGAAACAGCTTTGCTGAGAGTCCTTAATGATCTTCTCTTAATTACTGATTCAGGTCTGCTGTATTAGTCTTATTTGATTTGTCCTCAGCCTTTGACATGGTTGACCATAATATTTTATTAACAAGGTTAGAATGCACTGTGGGCATTCGGGGTGAAGCCCTTAATTGGTTCAAATCATACCTTTTGAACAGGTCTTTCTCCGTTACCTTGGGTACTTATTCTTCCTCAACTGCATCCTTATGCTGTGGTGTGCCCCAAGGCTCTGTGCTTGGCCCAATGTTATTCTCATTATATATGCTCCCACTAGGCTTAATCTTTGAAAAATATAACTTTTCTTATCACCTCTATGCCGATGATATACAGATTTATTTTCAATTAGAGGATGACGACATTGCTCCTTCGTGGCACTGCTTCCTCGAGTGCATGAGAGAAGTCAGAGAATGGCTTTCAGGCAATTCCCTTATCCTGAACGAAAAGAAAACGGAGATTGTGGTGTTT